AAGCCAAGGGGAATTATTATCAGGCCTTGAATGTGTAATTGTAAAACTGTACTCAAGTGAATTTCAGAATTACTATGGACCAGGGACTCGTGTGCACCTCCTGTTTTCTGCCTGTTGGAACAGGAATGTCTATAGCAGTTATCCTTCCTGCTCCACCACCATTTTACATAGGTTGTTTTAGGAAGGGAGCATATGGCTTTTTTCTTTAGTTCACAGGGCTTCAGATTGAGAGGTTCTATACCCAAGGAGCTGTATAAAGGAACTGCATCCAAGAAGCCTCATCTGCGCCTGGACCTATTTACAGGGTAAGACCCCAAACTTTGAGCTGATGCTATAATAGAATAAGACTTTGGGGCCTTGGAAAGGGTGGGTATATTTTGATATTATAAATACTTTGTGGCCAGATGGTGGACTGCGTTTTCAAATATGTTCACAAATACTTTGATGCTTGTGTTAGTTTCCTATTGCTACTGTAATAAATTACCACAAACTTAGTGGCTTAAGCAAAATTTATTGTCTTACATTTTTGGAGGTCAGAAGTCCAAAATAGGCCTTACAGGGCTAAAATCAAAGGCTGCATCCCTCTGGAGGCTCTAGGGGAAAATCTATTCCTTATCCTTTGCAGCTTCCAGTGGCTGTATACATTCCTTGACTCATGGCCACATCACTCTGACCTGCTTCCATTACTGTGTTTGCTACTTTCACTCTGATTCTCTTGCCTTCATCTTGTAAGCACCCTTATGATTACATTGAGCCCACCCAGATAATCCAAGGAAATTTCCCTATTTTGAGATTCTGATTACATCAGCAAAGTCCTGTCTTTAGTCCATGTAAGGTAACTTCACTGGTTCTGAGGACATGGCTATCTTTTGTAGGGAGGGGAGGAGAGAAAGCACAGGCAATGCTTCAGTCTACCACAATGCCCCGCCCCTCAAGGAGCAGCATTGCGACCCCTCCCCTTAAGTATGGGCTGGATTTGGTGAGATAGTTATAATACAGAGAGTATGGCAAAAGTGACGATGTGACATAAAACACATTTCAGTTCCCTGCCTGCTCTCTGGGATTACTTACTTGGGAAGAAGTCAAGTGATATGCCATGTGGACACGTAAGGAGTCCCATGGAAATGTCCAAGTGGAAGGAACTGAGCCTATTGCTAACAGCCAGAATGGAACTGATGCTTCCTTCCAACAGCCATGTGAGTAAACCTTCTTGGAAGAGGATCCTCCAGCCCCTTTGAGCCTTCAATTGACTGTAGTCCTGACCAACATCTTGAATACAACCTCATGAAAGGCTCTGAGCCAGAACCACCCAGCTAAGCCATTCCTGGATTCCTGACCACAGAAACTGCAAGATAATGTTTGTTGTTTTAAGCTGCTAAACTGTGGGGTAATTTGTTATGTGGCAATAAATAACTAATATTACCCTCTAGGTCACATCTTGCTTGATCCATGATGTCTGCTTAAATTCTAGCTATTATTTCTACATTCCCGCCTGCAGGAAGTAGGAGGGGGAAAAGACAGGCATGCTCCCTTTCTAAATAGCACTTACTGGAAGGTGTATGCCCCTCTTTCATTTGCATCTCACTATCTATGAGATGGCATGGCACACCTAGCTGCAAGAGAGGCTAGGAAACATAGTATTTATTCTGTGCAGCCATGTACCCAACTAAAAATTAGGAGTTTTTCGAAAAATTATTTTCGCTATTATAGATGTCCCCATTTTTTCTCTCTTTACCCATCTCCACCCTGTCCTAGGTGTTTTAATAATATGTGAGAAGGGGAAAACAGATATGGGGGCACAATAAGCAATCTCTGTCACAATGGGTGATTACAAGGGTCAGGAAAAGCACAGTCCAGCATACATCCATCAACATTTTTCCTTTCTTAACAAAGCATTTCCACTGACCACCAAATGATATTTACACACCCATCATTCTGACCTCCTCTCCAAAGAATCATGCCAGTTGTGTAGTGAGTCATGGGAAAACCATGGGAAAGTTCTTTTCAGGGACACTGATCAAGAATAACCTACAGTAGAGGTTTTTTGCCTACAGGCTCTTAAATATCTTAAATGTTGCTTTCTAGATACTTATATTCTGTGTGCATTCTTTGGTGTATTGTCAGAAAATATACAACTGATAAAAATGTTGTGCAACCTCTGTGCAAGAGGTTGGAGAGACAGCCTTGTGATAGCAGCTTCATGGAATGCAATCTTGTTTCTTGACCTATAATTTTCCTTCCACATAGAAACCATTCTTGGGTAGCCTCATTCAGTGGACTTTTAAATTTTTATTTATCAATATGGTTAACCTAAATCACAAGCATTTAAAACTGGCTCCTTGTGTGCTTTGGTCAAAATAAACAAAAATGAGGAATATGTATTTCCAGAAATATATTACAAAACCAAATAGAAATTATTTTTCAACAAGTACTAAATGGCTTATTTGACATTTTTTCCTTACATCAGTATGAAAATGAGTGCACTGAAGATCTAAGACAACCTGCTTGTAATTGGTCCCAGTGGTTATTAGATGGCTGTAACTCTAGAGTTTAGATCATAGAGGCCAAGAGTTAGTTAAAGGATTACAAATATGATTTGACATAGAGCTTTTCATTTTGTTTTCACGTAAGGTCTCCCATCTTAATCCAGACATTTAGTCATCAGTTACCATGATGTAAATAAAATAGTTGGTCTTACAAAATTTCACCATAAAAGGACTCAGTCTGTGTTCACCTAATCTTTTTATGATGTCATGCATTGTATTGATAAAAAAAACAAACAAACCTATATTAGTAAGGAGTGTAAGACTCAAAGGCAACAATTATGAGTGTTCTGTAAAGTACTTCAATCCCACACTGTTGGCGCTCAATACATTTTAAGTTGCAAAAGGGGAAGTAACGTACTCTAAAGTCTTATTCTGGCATCCTATAGGATGACAATGTTAATGATTAAGATTCCAATCCCATCTCCTGTGAATACTACCTGTCAGAGTATTTTCCTGCTTCAGCTTGATACTTGTAGGTTTTCTCAGATGCCTGCTAAGTATCCTGTTAGCTGTTTTTTCTCCTGTGATTCTGATCTATTACTTCTTTTAGTTTTCCATGGGAATTGGTGGCTGTGAGTGAACCCAAGAGCCTCTGATCGCTTAACTGGGAAAATGGATCAAAAGTAGATTTTCATTTTGTGAGTAGGTATTTGGTTTTCTTAATCTATCAGCCAAGGTATCTTCTTAATCTTTTAGTAACTGAGCTGACTTACTGGGAACTTCTTCCTAGGCCAGAAGGATAGGTATGTGAATCCTTAAATCAGTGCCTTTCAAATTCGAGTGTGCAACAGGTTCACCGGCAGGGCCTATTATAAAACACAAAATGCTGGGCCCACTCCCAGAGTTCTGATTCAGCAGGTCTGGGGGGAAGTCTGAGAATTTTCATTCCTAACAAGTTCCCAGGTGATGCTGATGCGGTGGGTCCTGGGACCATTCTTTGAGACCCACTGCCTTAAATAAGTCAGGCATTTAAATGATCCTGTAAATAAATTGCCATTAAGCCTTTATTGTACTGATTTATGCTTCCTGTAAATAGGACCTAAGATTAAATTGACAGTCAGTTCTGTTGTGCCTCCACAAGTTCCTAAAAATCCCCAATTAGAAAACAAACCAGCAAACTCTTAACTCTTAGAATGGCAACGACTTACGCATTTTGAAAATGTTATTAAAGTCTAAAGAGTTCTAGGCTCTGAAGCTAACTTTAGTTGTGGTAATAGTCATCATTCTGTTACATTTGGAAACGTGCTTATTCTAAAATAATCGTTATTTTCACCCAAAGGAAACAAAAACAACACCACAGGAAGCACTGGGCAGCCTTAGGCCACTTTTTTTTTGGAAAACACATTTAATTCATGGTTGCACAACTCAAACAAAGGAGGTGATTAGGAACGCATTTAAGTCATTTCAACCAGGAATACTTACTGAAGAGGAGTATCTTGAAATCATGGATGGCCTACAAGTATCCGAATGGTAAAGAACTGAACCCTTATGTGACTTGTCAGGAATGTTCAAAGTTTCCCATTACTGTCCACAGATCCTGAGACTGAACATGAAATATCACCAAAAGAGCTACAGGTTCTGCCCACATACAAACAGTGCTGGTCTCCAAGGTGAATGAGCCTCATTCCAGAAGCTCACACAAGATTCTTACTGATGTTTTAATCCACTGGATACATATTCTTTCTCCTTTGATAGTTTCTTTATATAAGCCATCTTATCAACAGAAAATGTCCAACTGCTACTCTAAAGGATTCTTGTCTCTTTAGCTGAAGGTTATAGTTTGGTTCCAAACTTCTTGGATTCCTTAGCATCCCTCCCCTCCGCCATTTATCCCTCCGCTACATTACCGTCCCCAACAGTAAAGGGTAATCCATGGGTGAGGCAGGCCTTGGTCATTTGCCCCATTCCTAATTCCAAGGCTTGTTCTCAAGGTTAACACTTGGGTAGAGAACACGCATTTCAGCTACTTCTTATGGACTCTTCTTCCCTAATACATGGATGCAAATGTGTGCAAAGTGAACTAAGAAATAGGAATTAAGTGGAGCTTAAGTGCTAACAAAAGTTGGAGAAGGGGCTCTATGACAGGACGGAAAGAAGCTTTTTCATTGAATAAAGTGACATAGAATGACATCTGTTCTTGCCAAAGCCAGGTCTCTCAGCTCTCCCAAGTGAAAAAAACAACAAACGATATCAACATCCCAGAGAATCTTCACTGCGCGTTTGCTGTCACAGTAAGTCCCAATATGCTAGAATGCTGACGACTTCTGGACTGGCTGGTCCAAGCCCATCATTTTTCAAACTAGAGAGCTGAGCCTCAGGGAGAATAGAGCAACTTGCCTTAATTACAGTTAAAGGTTCCTTCGCTGCAGCACTGAGGCCAGGACTTAGATTTTCTGATCATCGAGCCCCTGCTTGTAGGCCTCCCCCCCTTTCTTGGGGGTGGGTGGGGGGGTTGTTAATGTAAACACCAGTGGAGCAACTGCTATTGCTGTTGCCCATCCCTGCTCCTCAGGAAGGGTCCAGCGTGTCCATGTGTCCATGCCCACAGGCGTCCAGGATGAGAAAGCCCTTACAGATCCAGCAATGGGACAGTGACTCGCTGAGGATGATGCCACATGGGGCTGTCTGTATCCAGCCCAAGTCTGTGTGGTTTTTTTATATCCTCCTTTCTTGTCATCAAATAAAATTACAAATATAATACAAGTGTGTTTATATACATGCTCCTTTAGTGTAAGCAAGCCTCACTGTGGTTTCAGGTGCTCCAATGAGAAAAATAAAATAAAATTGCACTTGTGGCCTCTCAGATTAACGACTGAGTTAAAATGAGGTTTTCCAGCCCTCAGGAGAATCGGCCACACAAGCTGATGCTATTGGGCCATCAGCCTGTGTGGCCATCGGCACTTAGGCCCAGCAGACTCAGAGACCTGTGGGAATGACTCTTTCACAAGACACCCCAGAGGTAGATAAATGCAGTCAGCCCCATGGATGCAGCACATAAAAGCACCGGGTAGGGTGTGTGGAGATGCCTTGGACAAGGGGCAGCAGGCCAGAAGGGCGGGCCAGACCTCTGGCTCTAACCATAGTACCCTCCCTGGAGGGAAACATTTTTGGTCGTGCAAGTCCCATTATGTAGCGAACGTCTACAGCAGTGAGAATGTGGAAGTGAGAGTAAGAGGCGGTGCTGGTCTCAGGGTGAAACACTTCTAAGCAAACCTCTAAGGTGGAGCTGCCAATGAGGCAAATCTGAAGGGTTATCATTTTGAACTGAGGGACCCTGGCACATTCCCCCAGGCCATGTATGACCCCTGGGTGGCCCTTCCATTCTCTCCCCCAACAGATCAAAGAATTAGGTAGCCAGGACTCCCCTTCCGATAGAGCCGTGCTGGACTGAGGTGACTGCAAAAGGCACAGGCAGCTCTGATGGTTCAGCTCTCCCCTGATTTCTCCCTCAGCCAGAGGGAGGGGAGAGGGGACAGAGGTACAGGTGACAGAACAAGGCTGCAGAGCCCAGCCGTTGCTACAACAGCTGCTGAGAGTCAGGCCCAAGAAACGTCAACTCAGGGTGGAGTCAAGGTCCTTTTCTCTGGCATGAGCGGCCTTGGCCCTGCTCTTTTCTTCAGGGAGAATGGCCCAAGAAGGCTGGCTGGCTTCTCACTGAGGTAATGAAGACCATCTGCTCAGCTACGTAGGTCACCCTCAGGTTAAGCAGGAAGAATCCCTGAAGAAGGCGTTGTGAGGACAAAGGCTGAGGAGCTCCGCTGATCTGGGACATGGCATGTTTTAAATGACACATTCCCGCATACACAGCACACTCACACACTCACGCATGGAGGCCCACACTTCCACGTACTGACATTCTCCCAATCCCCCCTCCAAGTCCCCAGTCCCACCCCACGGATGTTGTCCCCTGTAAACATGACAACAGAGATGCCCATAATCCTGGGACAGTCTGACAGTGATCTGAGGTCAACTGCTTGTCATTAAGTGCCCCGGTAGGTGACGTTGGTGAAGGTGGATACGGCCCCTTTATACAGTGGGTTGTTGGCCTGAGGAGAGAACAGAAAAGGGTCTTACAGTGAATCTTCAATTCTACCCTACCCTCAAGGCTTATGTTTCATCTGAGAAATTTGCCCAAGACACCCTTCTGTGGGAAATACCATCGATGAACTGCTTACTGCTCGTTGTATTTGCACATTCACTCGTAAGAAGGGAATGGAGAGGAAATAAGGGACAGGAGAGGGAATGCCTTCCTGCCACTATTTCTCAGGGGTTAAATTCATCCTGTCCCTTTCAGGTGATCCCAAGACATTTCAGGATAGCTTTTAACTGACAGCTTCCTCCCTCTCTCCAACAGGCTCTCTTTTGCCTTCTCCCCTTTTTCCTTTCCTGTGACCCTGCTGGGGGATGTGGGCAGGGGGAGAGAAATGGAGAAGGTGGTGTTTGGAACATAAAGGACAGCTTTTGCTCAAACACTTCTGAATATGTTCTCATCTCACCCCTTCCAGCACTACCCACAAACTGTCATGTTATCAGGAAAGAGTAAGACCCTCACTAGATTTCCCAAATTATTTTCCAATAAAAAGTGACAAATCCTATGAGTTCTGGTAGTCCTCAGTGGTAGCTTCAAGAACCATAACATGTTCTCACATGCCTCAGAGGTTCAGGATTTCCACACCGTCTGAACAGAAACATCTCAGTTTTTTGGGATCCTGGGGTACAAAGGCCTGAGGCCACCATCAAATGGGGACAAACTTACAGCCTAAACTTGGACAGTCAAAGAGTTAAATAGCCATTTGGAAGGTCCAGGAAAAAGTTGAAATGTAGAAAATGAGCCAAAGGAAAATAGAGTAAAATTAAGTCCATACAAAGTTCTCAAAAAATGCTTGTTTGGATTCAATCAAGATAATCTGCAGGGAACACAAAAGTGGAGTCTGATTTGGAAGTTATCATTACTTGAGAAAAAAAGGAAAGACTGTGATGGAATGACAACTTGCTATTATTTCTAAGAGGCTGACCCAAAAAGGGATAGTGTAATTCCCTCCCACTCAAAAAGAGATAGTGTAATTCCCTCCCACTTCTCTGTGCTCATTTATCTACAAGTGGGTATCATAAGTGACCTTTCACACAGGGATGTTATAGTTATGAAATAAGTTATTCATAAAAAAGCATTTTGAACAATTCCTGGTACATGGTAACATCTCAGTAAATGTTAGCTATTGTTATATTTTTCCTGTTTGTCTTTAACGCATTAAACCTCATTAGTATATAATGTATGCTAGTTATTATATGTTCTCTGTGTGGGAGTCTCAAGTTTGTCCTGTCTCCTTCAACTGGAGATCATTTCCTATTCATCTCTTCACAGCGTTCGGAGCAGAGTTGGGCCCTATCTGTGCTCAGTCAGTCCTCACTGATGTGGCTCATGGTCAGGTGGTTTCTGGGAAGCATAAGGACCCCAGGACAGTTAGACCATCTTCCAGGGTCCAGATGAGAGACTAACTGGAAAACTACTGGCTGAACCTGGCCGCTGTGAGCATCTGCTGTGTCCACTTCAGGCTCCAAACCAATGACTTAAGAAAACGCCCGGTGTCACACAGCCCCGCCTCTTACCGTGTCCCATTTTGCTCTGGCTCGCTCTTCCTCAAACTTCGCAAACTCCTTCCGATCGTGGATGGTGATGAGGAGCTTCCAGATGAGAAGAGTAGCAAGGCCAATGAGCAGAATGGCCCCCATCACTGAAAGCAGGACCACCAGGATGTCTGGGCCCTTGGGACACTCTGTCAGGAGACAGCACAGAGCACGGTGGCTGTCACTAGAGCAGGAATCATTTGAATTGGCTAAAAAGAAGAGCTTCTTGACAAAGCAGTAATGTACTAGAAAATTCTCTGAAGGAAAGAGGACTTACCAAAAAAAAAAATCAATTAATTTTTTAAAGGAGAGGGGGCAACTTTTAGGACAGCAATAATCTGTCCTGAGTGGTTTTCATCAGGCCATGAACCTGTCTCCCATGGGATGGACCTAGTCTACTTGATGTCAGTTCACACAGCATGAATTAAAAATGATTTTATTGGCACCATTGAATAATCAGGAGTCTCCCCTTGAAATATCAGGTTGTTTTTTATTTATTTTTATTTCTAAAAGATTTTATTTATTTATTTTTAGAGAGGCGGGGAAGGAGGGAGAAAGAAAGGGAGACAAACATTGATGTGATGTACGCCCCCCGACCGGGACCAAACCCACCACCCAGGAATGTGCCCTGACTGGGAATTGAACCAGCAACCTTTTGCTTTGCAGGACGACGCCAAACCAACTGAGCCACACCACTCAGGGCTCTTCTTTAAAAAAAATAAAAAAAAAAAAAGATCAAGAAACATGGAACCTATATTCCTACAGGGCAGCAACTGGCGAGGGCTGAGGAGCAGCTTCCCATTTTAGGGACACGTTGGCCCATCACTCTCACTTCTCCACAAAACAGCAGCCAAGTGTGGCTTGTCAGTGAGCCTGTGCTACCGTGGGCCCTGGGGACAGGCTGCCTGCGTCTGAATCCTGGCTCACCACTTACTTTGCTATGTGACCTTTGATAAATTATTTAACCTTTCTGGGTGTCTGCTTCTTGGTTTTACCATCTTTAAAATGGAGGAAGCAAGGTGCCTTATCAGCACAGTAGGCGACATGTCAGTCTCATAAAATGGGGAAAATTGCAGCAGTGACTTCAAAAATTTGCTCTGAGAAACAATTAAGGAATTTGAAGAGCTCAGAACAATGCCTGGCATAGAGTCGGTGCTCAACAGACATCAGCTACCACTATCGCTGATGTTCTTGTTACACCTGGCTGTTTCCCCTAATTTGTTTGCCTAGCTTCTGTAGGTATTTGAGTCTGTTACCCTGGTTCAGATGTTTACAACCCTGAAGACTGGGAACCTAATGACTTTCTTAGCATACTTAGACACCAGGCAGCCTGCCAAACAAGACAATATTTTGGGTTCCTTCCCAAAATATTTAGTCATTTAAAATCCTAACCCTATTGAGAGCCGACTTCCTCTTCAACGCCAGTCAACAACCAACACAGACAGAGGTGCGTCACACCCCTGAGGGCCAGGATAAGTAAGCTCAGCAGAGCTCTGTTCCCATAAACCGCAGGTGTCTGATGGGTGACCTCACTCTAGTTACTTCTCAGGTGTTGTGTAATTAAGTGTTTGTATATATGCCTACTGATGGGTCTGGGGAGGAGGCCACACCCACTTTCCACACTGTCTCCCACCTTCTCCTCTAAACATACACCCTATGCTCGCCGCACACTACCCCAAAACAACCACCACCACACACCCAGGCTGGCGTTTTCCCAAGCCACCAAATTACAACCTGTCTGTAATTAAAGGAGCTCCTGGAGAGAAGTGGTGAGGTTCCAGTGTCTCAATTCCCAGGAGTGAAGGGCCCCAGTTTTTCTGGGAAAAGCAATTACGAATTCTCTGGAAGGCTGAGGTGGGGCGGACCCTCAAATCCCAAAGTGAAATCTCTTCCCTTCTGCATGTCAATATAGGCAGGACAGAGAGAATGCCAGGAGGTCTTTGTGGGGTGGGGGGATATCTGTTAGCCATCTGTCCTGAAAGAGATGGATGGCAGGCTTCCTGCAGATAACATTGGGGGTCTCTGGAGAGCCCTCCCAGCCACCGTGGTGGGGACCCTTGGTGGTGTCAGGAAAGACTGGGTAGGGTTAGCAGATTTGACAAACAAAAGTACAGGAAGTCCAATTAAATTTGAATTCATAACAATGAGTAACTTTTTAGCATAAGTATATACAAGATACTGCATGGACATACTGTGTTTTATCAGGTAATCATGCCCAATTCAGGGCTAACACCACTTAGCCAAGGCCATACCCTTTGGCTGTGTTCTCTTTATTACCCTGCAGTGTCTTGGCCCTTCCAGGAGAGCCTCCGCAAGGCCATGAGTTAGGGAACAGAATGAAAAGACTCTCCTCCTCTACTCTGGGACCCCAGATACTACATTCTGCTCAAAGACAGAGCGGCTGAGAATGGTTTGGTGTTGGGGTGAGGCGGGGGCAGAACTTGGGATTCCAGGGCAACAAGACTGGAAATGTGGGTCTGGGTCCCATCTCCTCATGTGGAGGAAGGGGCCTACTGCCAGCGAGCAGGAAAAGTTACCCCCCACCCCCAGGGGTTACTCCTCCCGCCCCAGGTTACCATCATCTTTGTTCTAGCCTCAGAATGCCCAGACCGAGATGTTGGTGAGTAACACAGCAGGAGCACCAGCAAAGATTATCACAGCAAAGAGATTAAATCATCTGCAAGATTATATGCCCAGAGCTAGGTAGCTAAATTAATGAAAACAGCCGAGTATAAAAGCAAGAACATACCACGCTTATGAAATGAGAAGGGGCAAAGGTGTTGATAAGGTGGGTGTGGAAAAATCTGTGAAACGTGTTAACACAGATGGATGAGAAAGTGTGAGAAAGTTACGTGCAAATAATCCACATCTGCTCTCCACAGATCCAGCCCCAGCCTTCCTTCTCACTCACTTCCTGTGCCAGCTGTCCCTTGAATCAGTAAGTAAAACTAAGGTGATGCCCTTTCTTTCTCTTCCTTTTCCCTTATGAAGGCTGAGAGCCCTGGGAAAGGCCGATGAATGATATCACAGATGGGGACACCTTGCCCTCCCCTACCCACGGTGACAGCCACACCCTGGGTGACATCAATTTAGCAGCCGTTTGCCTACTTTCATCCCTTTCCTTCTCCAAGCAGCCAAACTGTCCTAACAGAAATCAAGATGCGTATAAGTCCACCCATCTCCTAGGAATAATCAGCCCTATTATTTCATTCACAAGTCATTTATTAAGTATCTTCTTTGTAGATGACTGAGCCAAGCAACAGTATATAACAATTGATAAGACAGACAGTTCCTGTGCTCACGGGGCTTATGATCTACTGAGGGAGACAGGCGATTGGAGAAGCAATTTAAAAGTGTGGCCAAGGCCCTTTAAAGGAAGCAGGGCTGCTGTGACAACCAAACAGGAGCACCAAACCTAGTCAGCAGAATGAGGCTCGAGGAGGTCTGAGAAGGCTCACTGGGGGAAGTAATGTGTCTAAAGCATTATCAACTCAATAGATTGGGGTACAGCCCAATCACCAAGAGAATTAATAAGGAACACAAAGGCAAAGGTTTGTGGAAGCCGGTCAGTGCTCAGGACTCGGGGGGTTTTTTTAACAAGGAAACACAAAAAGTTACACTGCCATAACACAGGGGCCAGCAAACTGGCCCATGAGCCAAGTGCAGCTTGCCACCTGTCTTTGTAAATAGAGCCAGACTCCTTTGTTTACATATGGTCTATGGCTGTTTTCCTGCCAGTATGGCATTGTTGGGTAGTCATAGCACAGAGACCATATGGCCCCTACAGCTAAAAAATATTTAACATCTGGCCATTTACAGAAAAGTTTGCTGGCCTCTGGTCTAAAGAATGAGATGAAGGACTCTCTAGCTGTAAAGAGTGTCAAGTGACCAACTGACTTAGCCTCTGCCTTCGGAGGTTGTTCCTTCACTCCCTTAAGTTCTTGTCCCCCCCACCCCCCGCCCACACATGGCCCTTACCCCTCTGTGGTGTCATTATTGATTTACATGTCTGTGTCCCCCAAGTCTGTGAGGGCCACCTCTGCCTTATTTACTCTTATATTCCTAGTGCCTAGCCCAGTGCCTGATATAGAATAAGTACTCAAAACTACTTTTTAGTGATTCCTATCTTAATTTCTTGTTTAAGGGAAAGGAAGGAGATGAAGGGGGTAAGGAAAAGCAAGCCAACTTGCTGTGCTGGCTGGTGGCAAACCTGTGGGTGGGCTGTGTGTGATGATGTGAGCTCACCCCGCACCCAGAGGGCCTGCAGAGCAAGCTGTGAACTCTCAGTGCCTGGGGCAGCCCTGGCTTGGTGACCCAAACCCTCTACCACGTGTCATGGTGAAGCTGGCAAGGTCAACACCTCAGACCACTAGGCCTTCTTCTGCAGCAGCAAGCAGGCTGCTCTGGGCAACCATTGAACTTACAGTGGAGCAGATGCCTTGCGCTGAAAAGTCCTAAAATGTAAATTCTTTACTTAATATGATCACCTGAAAAACTGCCATGATATATTTTGTCCCTTAATGAGATCCATATTTACCTTTTTCCTCTTACACACCTTATTTTTCTAACTCCTCAATTATCAAATCACTTTCTTGCTAATATTTGTATTTATATATCCCCCACGCCCAGATGACAGGTCCTAACTCATCACCTGTAAGGTCAGGCTTAACCTGGCTTTCCCATTTAAGAGGTGTGATAGGTGAAATAACTGCCTAGTGTGGTTCTCCCTCTCCCTGGGGCAGGGCTGGGGCCCTCAGGGTCCGCTCACCTGGTTCTTCCACCACATACAGGACAGACTTTCCACTGGAGTCTTCAAAGTACTGGAATCTGATGACACAGTCATCCTCATTCTTGTAGGTACAATTCACTGCATCCTTGCCAGTGTCCTCTGGAGGAGACGGGAAGATGGGAGAATGAAAAAATGAGTCATTCCTGGAAAAAACAGGTCAATTCCTGTAAGCTAGGTCACTCCCAAACTCCAGTTGTGGAATTTCTCCAAAAGTATGTAACTTTATGCTTACATAGAAACCATTATGCTTGACATTAGGCAAGATGTCCAGATTTGAGATGGTTGTCGAGCCTGGCAATTGCCTCCAAATGACCTGGACTGGTGTATTTTTTCCCTCACAGGCCCTTTTCGGTTCTCATTCCTTCCTCCGGAAGGGACATGATATGTAGTATTACACAATCTGATTCAAAGTTGGGCTCCGCCACCTACAAGCTGTGGGGTCTTGGGTAAGTTACCTGACCACCTGCACTCCTCTTTCTTTGTCTATAAAAGGAAAATGATACCCTCACCTCACAGGGTTGGTTGAGAATTAAGTGACATACAGTAAACAGGTGGTGTTTCCTTCCCTCTCTTTCCTTTCTCTGCTCAATGGTTCTCAGTAGTTTGTTCACTCAGCCCTTCGAGTCCCTCCATTTCTGCCTCTGTCCCAGTGTTGCTCTTCAGAGCCAGCCTCTCTCCCATCATGTTTTGTAGGCTTCATCCGTCCTCATTCTGAAACCTGTGATTCTAGCAATGAAACCATCCCCTACACTGATGAAACTGACAGGTAAAACTGACACACGATGAGAATGAGCAAATGTGCCAAGGTCACACAGCAAGCGACAGAGCGGGATTAGCACGAGTCTCCAAGCACAACCTATAAACTTTAACTCAGTAAGCCTTTAATTTAGTAAACCGGTGGTATTCTCATACCAAGGAAAGAGTAAGAATTTCAGGAATTAAGATTAATTAATTAATATTAGAATTTAATTCTAATCTTAACACACCACTAATTTGCTTGGGCAAGTTACTTAACTTTCCTGAGATTCAATTTCCTCATACTCAAAATGAAGACGACTGTAGTTCTACTTCAGTAGGTTGTTGGGAGAAGAAGAATAAGATAATGTGCATGAGAAGATACTTTTATAACTTCTGCAAGTAATAAAATTCTGTGCCTCAGTTTCTTCATCTGTAAAATGGGGTGATTCTCTTCCTTTCCTCAAGGAGCATATAGTTAGGATTGCCTGACATCTACACACATTGAAAGTTATTTATAGGATTTTGCTGAGTCTGTAGGCTTCAGTAAGCAGAAAGGTGAGGGTCTGCTCAACAAATCAGTAAAAGTGCAGGGAGAATCTCAGGGAAGTCAGTTTTTGTTAAGTGCCTACTGTGCATCAGAACTACATGACATGCCTTTGAGGTCAAAATTTTACAGATGAGATTTGGATAGTTTCTTGCATTAAATCAGGAAATAAAGGAAAATCAGGAAAATAAAGGAAAACTGAGAACCCAGGTATGTGCAACACAAAGCCATGCTGAACTTACTAAGCTCCTTCACAGACTCGATCTCATCTCGACAGTAACGGTTGCAGGTGTTCTCCTCATATAGGATTCCGCGGTCAAACTTCTTACACTCTACACACTCCCTAAGGAAAGAGGACACAGGAGTTAAGGCAAGGGAGGAGCAACCCCGAGAGCGTTTAGGTCTGACTCTGACCTCCAGACACCCAGGAAGCACCTCTGTCTCAGAAAACAAACATACAAACAGAGACATCCTGATAACCCTGGGGCCTGAGACATCCAGACAACCCTGGGGCCTAAAGAGTCGGGCCTGGAGTTCAGAGCCTGGAGGCCAGGGCCTGGCAGGCAGATGCCTCCAAGTAACGTCATGAAATTTCTCCATCCAGGCCTGTGACAGGAGGGTGAACCCTATGGCACTTCCGGGAGCCTCAAAGTCAGAACCAGTCACATAATTTAGGGACCCAGTACAAAATGAAAATGTCAGGTCTCTTGTTCAAAAATGACTAATAATTTCAAGACAGTGACAGCAGAGCTTTAAACCAATTTGGGGGGTGGTGGTCTTCTAAATACAGGGCCCTATACAAATGCTATTACTCTTACCCCCCCTGAAGTGGAAGGAGAGCTCCTCCCGTAAACCAAAAGGTTGGTGGTTTGATTCCTGGCAAGGGCACATGCCTAGGCTGCAGGTTTGGTCCCCAGTTGGGGCACATGCAAAAGGCAACCAATCAGTGTTTCTCTCTCACATCGATGTTTCTCTCCTTCTCTTTCTCTCTCTCTTCCCTGTCTCTAAAATCAATAAGCATATCCTCAGGTGAGGATTAAATAAATAAATAAATAAATAAATAAATAAATAAATAAATAAGCAAGCTTTAAAAAAGTAGGAGAAATTGTAGTGCCATGGACTTGGGCTGCTAGAAGCTTCCTCTGACCCCCAAATGGGTGTCTTTTATACTGGCGGATGTCTGTTTCACACAGTGTCTTTCGTAACTGCAGCTCCATATCTCCCACAGAATCCGAATATCAGCACTGGAACGTTCCCCAGAAGTTATCTGGCTTAGCCTTCCTCCTAACTCAGGGATTCCGGATGCCACCCTAGAAGAGCGGCTTCTCCAACTGGACTCCGGCTGGTACTACTTTGGCTCCTTCACTATTGGCGATTGGCCTCACCTCCAGCTTTCTCCAAGGTTTTCAGGGAAAGAGGAAAGCTAGTCATGTGGCTGGAGCAGACTCCTCCCCCTAAAGCTTTGGTGAGTGAGAGACCTGGAGAGGGGATTCCAGTCTAGTGGACCCTCTCCACCCTCCAACCCTCCCCTGCACCGCGCCCCCGCCCCCCTGCCCAGTCTGACACCCAACTCTCCCAAACTCACTTCTCTGCCCACTCACTTCTTAAAGGTGCAGGCATCAGGGCAGGTGGGACACTTCTCACAGGTGCTGCCGTAGGAGCCCGGCTGGATGCAGACGCAGCTGCCGCATTCACACTTGCCCCGGCCGCTGCACAGCAGCCCGTTACTGGACATGCAGGTGTCGGTGCGTGTGGTACAGTTGCAGTAGTAGCCGGTCCAGTCGGAGTCACACAGGCAGTCCCCACAGCTGCATTGGCCATGGCCTGAAAACAGACAGCCCACAGGGGCGGAGCGGCTGGTGAGGGCCCCAAACCCCATGACCGCGGCTCAACCTGCTTTCCAGCGGTGTCCCATCATCTGCCGCACATGGGCCACCACGCTGCACTGCTCACCATCCTCACACCAGCCTTATACCCTCATACTTCTTTCCATGCTGTTCCCCCTGCCCAGAGGCCTTTTCCTCCTGTGACCACTACCAGGCTCCACTCACCCTTTACGGCCCAACTCAGACGTTCCTGGCTCTCTGCGACTTTTTTCTGACCTCCCCGGGCCAGGTCAGCTGTCAGTCCTGTGTTCTGCCAGCACTTACATATCCCTCTATTTTAGCCCCCAGGATCAACCCTTTTGCTTGCCTATTTGTTTCTCTTTCCAGATTGTGAGCTTCTTGATGGGAGAGCACATATGATATTAATTTTGAATTTTTTCAAGTACAGTTTACATTCAATATTATTTTGCATTAGTTTCAGATGTACAGCATACTGGTTAAACAACTAGAGACTTTACAAAGTGCCCCCCCCAATATTTCCAATACCCAACTGGCACAAAATACTAATTTTTGCTCAATAATAATTAGTATAATATCTGATATCTGATACAGAATAGGCTTGCGATTAATGTTTATTTATCCATTCATTCAACAAATATTTATTGAGCTCACATCACATGCTGGACACTGGGGATTCAGGCAGGAACAAGCAGGCAGGGTCCCCTCTCTCACAGAGGTTACACTCTAGTTAAATTCCTAGAAACACGCACACACCCACCAACATGTGCCCTGTGTGGTGTTATCCTTTTATTGCAAAGAGTCATTATCCCTAGTAGAAAAGACCTGTCCCCTTTACTACGTGCATGTAGGAGCAGCAGAGAGACTGGGTTGGGGCTTATACTGCTTAAATGCAGGCAATAACTCTAATGCTATATTCCCCTAACACTCCTGTAACAAGGCTTTAAAACTTGGCTCCTAAACCTTGCACAAAGGTGACTCATTCTTCAGGACTCTGAAGCAGGAAGAAGTGGACGAATAATAAAAATCTGATTGATAATCAGAGGAAAGGCAGGAAGCAAGGCAGGAGTGACTTGAACCGGTCTGCGCACCACGCCACCATGTGAGCAGACAGGCTGCGCGATACTGAAGGAGAGGGTGTCAGCAGCCAGGCTCACACAGCACCGAGCTGGCACCTCCTGCTCCCCAGCGGGCCTGACTCTCTTGACCACTGTAGGTCCTTCTGCCAGTGACCCCAGCACCATCCTCTAGTAACCACACTGGCATTCAAGACTCAGACACACCTGCACTGCCTTGGAAAGACATGTCTGTTTCCTAGGAAGGATGGGAAACACAACCCCATCTGCCACAGCTGCCCAATATATATGCAGAGCAGAAACACTGGGCTGGCAGAGGGTGGAAAAAGAAGACAGACTGCACTTTGAGGTTGGGTTCCCTCGAAGTACAGCTTGTGGTGAGGATTCTTGTTTAAGTGACTTAGTGGAAGGGAGGGAGGGAAGCAGACAGGGCAGGAGTCAAAGGCTGGCAGGAATGTGGTTTCAGCTGGAGACTCCCTTCAGCCTGACCCCACAGCTGGCTCCGGGCTCTGGGGCGGGAATGGCACCACTCAGCGAGCTCCTCCTCCTGCCCTTTAAAAAAGAAAAATCCTCACCCAAGGACACTGAGAACATGCTGACTGATTTTAGAAAGAGGGGAAGGCGGGGGAGAGAGAGAGAGGGTGATCAGTTGCCTCTCATACCACCTGACAGGGGACTAACTGAACCTGCAACCCAAGTACGTACCCTGACCGGGGACTGAACCCGGCTTTCCATTTTAAGGGACAATACTCCAACTAAGTGAGCCACACTGGCCAGGGCGCTATCCCCACCTTTGAGGCAAAGCACCTGGCCTTGGGTAACCTCTTTCCCATCAGTCACTGTCAAGGTCTGAAGGCAAGACAGCTCCTGTGAGTGGAAGGTAATGCTCTAGAGGAAGGGCAGCTGCGAGCTATTATAAGCAGCCCCAACAGCAGCTGGGGCAAGGATGTGCCAGCCGGCAGAGTGGGGCCCCGCAATGCACCCTGCATCCAGCCTCCCGCCATGGCTGCCGGACAGGGAAAGGCGGACACCACAGAGGCCTGGCGGCACTCAGGGGCCTCAGCCTCCTCACGAACCCTGGCCCCATAGTGTTTCCTTTGTGAAGCTAAACAAAGCCATCTTTGAGAAGCCGGCCTGCCAGGCCAGCCAGGGAGTGAGGATGGGAGTGGAAGTGGCAGGCCAGAGCCAGTGGGCTGACCCCATGCCCTTCCTGGCAGGGAAGCCCCAGCGTGGTAGTGTTACAGGATCGCACCCCTCCCGCAGCAGGGTGGCCGTGCCTGAGTTCAAAGGAAAGTCAGAGGAGGGGCGTGTAAATGGAGACAAAGTGTAAGAGAGGGAAGGAAAAGAGGGAAGAAGGTGCCAAGGGAAGGGAGGGAGGAAAGGGGGAGAGGACAGGAGGGGCCTGTAGTTCATGTCAGAGAAAACACAATTGCTCTTTCTGTAGAGCTTGACCTTCCGCGCTGATGCTTCGCCCCGCTGTCACATTGCTCCTCTCCTTCGGGAGCCAGCCCTTCCTTTGACATCCCACCTCCTCCGTGAAGCCACCTAGGCCTCCCCTGTCTGCAGTCTCTCCAGGGGACTCCTATAACACTCCTTGAGGACACCTCTCTCCCGGGGTCTGGCAGGTTGCGCCCAGTGCTGTGAATTACCCTTAGGTAAGTTAATGAAGGGCAAAACTGTCTTATTCATGCCTCTCTCTGCCATGACGCTATAGCACACAGCACAGAACCTGGCTCAGGGGGTGCTTGATCAACCTACGCTCATGGATGTGGCAGGTGGAAGAGTCCCTTGAGGACTAGGAAGCACTCCCTGTGTTTGAGGGGTGCTGATTGTGTGCAGCCACGAGGACCATGCAGGCCTCCATCGGGAAGGAGAGGAGAAGGATGGCCAGGGGCTAGAGAAATAGCCAAGGGATAGCCCCCATGCCTCATGAGCCCCCACTTGCAGCAAACAACAGACCACAGGCCAGCAGCTCTGGGGAGGGTCAATGGCAAACTGGGCTATAAGCCCTGAGAGGTCAGCCATCATCATGCATGGTTCCTGCTCACCTATATGGACTGAGTGCCTGGCACAGGGTAGGTGCTCAGTGATTGTGTGTCCCTGAGCATCTGTCCCTGGGGCAGGTGATGCCAGTGTCCAGCCCCGAGCAGCAGGCACCCAGCACTGGCAGGAAGTGGGGGAGGGAAGCCTCCAGAGGCTGCAGTGGCTGCCTGTGGTTCCCTCATGAATTAGGCTGCAGCACACAGAGGACAGGTTGTTCTCGAGCTGGCGGGAGGCAGGAACCAGGCTGCTGACCCCGGCAGCTATGTGCCATGGCCTCATGGGGGGCGGGCAGCCAAAGGAAACACTCTGGCTGGGATCCCGCCCACACTGCCTCACAGCAGACCAGGACAAGCAGGCCATGGGGGCCCGGTGGGCCTCCCTCTGTCCCCAGTACCCGCAGGGGGCTACCTGTAGGCCTCTCCGCGGGAAACCCTTCAGCCCCTTCACTCCCAAACTTCCCCCACAATGGGTTGCCTAAGTCAAACTTAGCCGTTCCCTTTCGTACTTTGAATATGATGTAAATACCATTAAATATTAAAATGAACTTAAACTTCTGCCTCATCCCATAACTGAAATGGCTGTTTGTGTGTGTTTGTGTGTATACCTGATCTCTCTCCTCAGTTGGTCAGATACCCTTTTTCTTGATCTCTCTCTCTCTCTCTCTCATATTTTGCTGGCATGAGTGAAGGAAACAATGTTGTCAATAATAAAAAGGAGCCATTTTTATATTACTTGGACGTGCTTTAGAGTGACACAGATTTACTTTTCTAATCAAACCTTTTTAAAGGCTGATGTCCTGGTTGGTGTGGCTCAGTGGATTTAGCACCAGCCTGCGAACCAAAGGGTCGCTCATTCGATTCCCAGTCAGGGCACATGCCTGGGTTGCAGGTCAGGTCCCCGGTGGTGGGCACATGAGAGGCAACCACACATTGATGTTTCTCACCCTCTCTTTCTCCCTCCTTTCCTCTCTCTAAAAGTAAATTTAAAAACTCTTTTTTAAAAAAAGGCTGATGTTAAAGTAAACCTCTGGTGGATTAGCTCAGTTGGTTAGAACCCTAATGCAAATGAAGCCAACCTGGGTCATGGATTTGATCACCAAAGAAGCCAATTATGTTATCTCTTTGATTGGCCACATGATATACCCATACACCAGTCTCAATCAACCTGCAAATATCTCCAATCAGTCTGTCATAAGAGGGATTGAGCCACAGTGATTACAGCCTAGCAAAAACCTATCCCCAACACCCCAGGAACAGCTCAGGCTGCCTATTTGCCTCCTACAGTGTTGTGAGTGCAGATAAAGATTACATTAACATCGGTTCAGCCTCTTAGAGCTGGAGAAGTACCCCAGGACTGGAGATTACCAGCAGGCCTCAAGATATTATTGAATTTGTGTAATGAGAAGGAAGACTCAGTATCCTGCAGGTAGAAGGACTTAAAATCATACTCTCCATTCAGCAGGCTGGATACGCTCTGGCGGTGCTATTCCATAAGCGTCTGTGCTGTCCAACACGGCAGCTACTGGCCAGTGTGGCTCCTGAGCAACAGAGGAGCTGAATTTTTAATTTTAAATTAAATTGAATTTAAATGTATTTTAATTAATTAAAATCGATTAATTTACATTTAAATAGCTACGTGTGGCTAGTGGCTATCTCTTAATCAGCACAGATCTAGAATCCAGAAAGTAATAGTAGTACCAATAGTGATAACAAAGCAGTGCCAATTTAATAAGAGCTTACTATTTTCCAGTCATTGTTCTGCACGGACTGGCTCATTAAATATGCTTCAGTGTCTTGCGTATATATTACTATTTTCCAAGTCTTTTTGTGATGAAAAGATAAATTCACACAAGGCAATTTTTCCTGACTTTACTATGTATTCTGTAAATATGTACATTTACATCATGTATTTTCCAAATCTATAAATACTGAAAATTTAATTATCATCAGTGATTTTTTTTCTTTTTTTCCCACATCCTCAAAAAGATTTGGAACCAGCGACTTAAAATATTAGGGGAAGTGCAGGTGAAAGACAAGAAAAAAAAAATCTTCACCTTCAAGCTTCCCCCCCCTTCTCACGCTTCCCTGCACACAACGAGCAAGGACGTGGAGAACAGAGAGGAATTCAAGAGGCCCTCGCTTCTGCTCTCTCCCACTGGAGTGGAACACCACCTACTCGCCTCTTCCCCGCGGGCCCTCCTGTGCCCACCTCAAGCCCTGATGTGCGCGTGTGCGTGTGGCTCCCAGGACCCGAGGGGCATCCAGTCCTACTCACCTGAGCACATCTCCCCCTTGTAGCGGACACAGGAGAAGTCATCACACTCGCAATACTTGCCCGTGATCTTCCCAAAGTCACTGCTATGGCAAAGGCACTGGCCACAGAGACACTCGCCCCGCTGGCTGCAGGCAGGCTGCCCCTCCTTGGGGCTGCACTGGTCCTGCTCGGAGGGCCGGTAGTCCTCCTCTGAGCACTCACACTGGGACCCCAGCCAGCCGGGCCCACAGCGGCACACCCCGCACTCGAAGGTCCCGTTGCCATTGTTGCAGCGGTGGCTGTGAGGCTCCGCCTGGGCCTCGCAGGCACAGTCACAGTCGAAGGTGACCTGGACTACGAGGTTGTCCTTAAAACCCACGGGCTTGATGGTAAAGGACTTTTCCTTTTCCTGGGGGCAGCCACGCACCTTGGCCTCGATGCTGAAGCTCACCTGGATGGAAAATCAGATCGCACTCAGACACAGGTGGACCTCGTTAGCACTCCAGCCCTGGAAATCAGCTGTTCTCTGCCCTGCCAGGGAACACCCAAACGGTGCCTGCAGCTCCTCGGCCTTCCCACTACCAAGGTCTGCAACGCGAAAACAAGAGCCCTGAATAGCGGTGCAGTTGTGACATACCAGGCTGGGTGCAGAGACGTGTGTCTACAGTCATGATATAGAAAGTTGGGTTTTTTATTCCACGTGGGAAGTAAACCAGCTCATGCAGAACAGAACTGCAATCTTGTGAACTCTGCTCTGGACAACTAAACTACCTTGACTGATTATATCACATAAGCAAGACAGATGTAGTCCTCTTTTGCACCACACAATGCCACACAGTGGCCATCCACGGGCTCAGGGTCTACTGTTCAATTTATACACAGAACATTTCATCACTTGTGCAATGAAACATGTTTCAGGCCAATATTTCTTACATGGGGTATGTGCACATGTGCCTAGAATGGAGAGAGGGATGGATGGAGGTAGATATAGATAATGTAGATAATCCAAATACGGATGACACAGATATCCCGTCTTTCCTCCACCCCCCTTCACCAACCCTTCTCCCTTTAGGCAGAAACAGAGGGGAACCAACCACTAAGGAAGGAAAGCCACAGAGGGACTGAAGGGGCAAAACAGACATTTGCATTCTGCAATTCCGTCAGGGTGGGTATTTTTGCCCATTCCATTAGCCTTTGAATCTTCAGCAGCTAGAACGATGCCTGGCACCAGTCAGTGCTCAATAAAGGTTTACAGAAGACACTGCCATTTTACACAGTGGAGGAAAGAAAGGCTTTTTCCTGGGCAGAGGTCGGAGACTGATTAGGGGCTGAAGGTAAGAAATATTTTCATTTGCCATCAACTGTGCATAAAGAAACAGAGGTAACTCAAGTGCACATTTTAAAAAATCCTGATAATGAAGTTCCCTTAACAGAGAGAAAGTTTAGACAAGAGAAGCCTCAGAGGAAAAGCTTAGCAGTTCCATGACATCTAAGCTGTAATGGCCTTCAGAAGGAAGGTTCAGGGAGGAGGGGTGGAGAGCCCATAGACACTCCAGGGCACGGGCCAGGGTCAGGGCTACAGCCTCAGCCCCTGTCCACCTCACCGTGTCTCCAATCTTGAGTCCCACACAAGACTTGAGGCCTGGGATGACCTCGTTGTTGAGGCAAGTGGCGTTGAAGGATAGAGACAACTCCTCAGGAAGGTCACGCACCTCCAGCTCTACTTTAGAGCGGATTTTCTGAGCAGAGAAGGGCAAAAGACCGTAAGGAAATGGACTGAGAGGAAACGGGTAGGTTCCAATTCTATCCCAGGCAGAATCTACCAGGCGGCCCTGGACTGACCCAGACAGTGCCTGCTGTTGAGGTTTCCCTGGAAGCTGCTAGATCCCCCTAGGTGGCTGCTACCTGCTACATCTCCAGCCCAGGCCCTGCTCCCTCTCTCTCTCCCCTCGTGTGTCTACGTGAGTCTGGTTAACATCAAAACCAGTACACCCTCCTGTAGGCCTCATGGGTGTGCAAAGGGTAGTGCTAATACTGGTCACCTCGGATAGTGGCAATTTCTACTTAATTTTAATCAACCTCACCTTCCCTGTGACTCATTTCCTTCCTCTCTCTCTTGTAGGAGCCCAGCTCTCCCTCACTTTCCCTCCCCTTCTAATTTCAGGACTCTTTTCCCCACCCCCCATCCTCTGCCTTCCACCTCCTCTAAGCTCTTTGTCCCTTGTTCCTAAGCTCCCTGGCCTTCCCTGGCCTTCCATCCTGAGCCATTGCTTCCTCAGAAGGCCGCATTCGTCCCAGGGCTGGCCATCCCTGGCCCCTGGAAGAACAAGGGGAAGGCAGGGAAGGCTGCAGGGCAAACCAGCAGCCAGGACTCCCAGATCTGAGCCCTCCAGGGTCAATGCCAAGTGAGGCCGAATTCCTAGCAGGCCCCTTCCCAGGGCAAGACACTTACCCCATAAGCATCAACAATGAGCTGGAGGACATTGCTGGAATCGGCAGACAGAACTCCCACTGTGGTTCCTGGGATGAGCTCACTGTAGTTCTAGAAAGGAAGACAAAGATGTCCAGGGCTGACTGAACGAAGCTGGTGGTCTCCAAAAGCCCTGCCCTAATCAGATGAAGGGCCGTCAAATGAAGACTGAGGGGGGAAGAGGATATTCATCTGGTCACTGCGAGGAATAAATCCACCAGTTTTTCAGCACTGAGCAAAATTAGAGAACACCTCTCACACCCCCTGCCCCAGAGAACTGTCCCCCTTCCCCACTGCAAACAGCCACACACCCATCCCGCTAGGTTTAAGGCTGGGGAGGAATCATTAGCTCCAGGGAACAGGTGGTAGGAGTGTCCTTCCTGGTTGGGAACCATGGCCATTGCTGTGTCCCTGAGGCAGGTCCACCCATCACAGGCCCCCTCCCAGTCCCAGCCCAGGAAGCCCTGACAGCGTAGTTACCTGGTAGAGTTTGACTACTCCTTCAGTCACTGCAAAGATCAGATTGATGTTTTTCTGGGATAGCTTCTCGGTCATCAGTCCCAGAGAAGGATAATCCTATAAAAAGGGAGGATGTGGAGGTTTGTTAAGAAGTCTATTCACATCTATCCGTGGACTCTAAGCCTTAGAACTTGGCTGACTTGAGCCATAGCCCAGACAGTGGTGGTGCTTAAACTCTTCGATCCCGCGATCAATGTTAGGCACACAGGTAACCAGGAGCACAAACCCAGTTGTAAATTCTGAGGATAGAGGAAGAGGTACAGGCTGGTGGTGTCAAAACTAAGCACCTCTTTCCTCCTACTCAAATTCAATGCATTCATACCAAGGAGCATGCAAGGAGCAGCTTCCATGGGCCAGTTAGACCTTGTTGTTTTGAAGCTTCCTCCTGTTTTGCCTTGACTTGGTGCTCGGCAGTTGTCCCTCAGGGGGTCCTTCCAACCTTCCTTTCCAGTCATCGCTAACCTCTCTCCTTCTTCCACTTACGACTGACCTGGCCCATTCTCTTCCTCCCCCTGCCCCAGAGTGGCCTTCTTTTTGGTGATCCTGCTCCTGCCTAGGGACCCAGTTCGGATCCAACCTTCTCCAGGAGGCCTTCTTTGACCACTCCCACTCATGATGAGCTTACCTCCTTTGAATACACGAAGACCCTCTTGACTATGCTGCCCACTTAACACTCATCATGCATCTGGTGTTATTGGCAACACACCTCGACTAACCCAAAAACTCCCTAAGGGCAGGACCTCCATATAGTCTCTTTATCTCCCTCAGCCCCTGTGAAGGAGCCTTATCTAGATTAGGAGCCCCTGGGACCCTAGGCCTTGCAGGGAACTCATGAGATCATCCAGCTCAGGCACCCGCCTTTACACAGGTGTACCTTTAAGCCACCTAGACTAGGCAGCTGTTATATTGTCTTTAAGAGATAAAGAGTTCACACCTCCCCCCAAGATACCCAGAGTATTGGCATTCTGAGGGTCTCTGTATCATATTTCAGTACATTTTCTTTAGGGCATATATCAATTTCTCCTGTTTCAATTTAAACTCCTTTCTTCTTATTTAACCTTCTATGACCATAGAAAACAACTTGTAGAAGTCTTCTCATGTTGCAGCTAAATCATCCTGTAGCCTTCTTTCCTTTGAGCTAAATGATCTTGAGTCCTTTAACCTTTCCTCACAGGACCAGCTCTCCATGCTTTTGATGACTTTTGCTTCTTTTTCCTCCATCTCCTTCCAATAACCATAAATGAGCAGGGTATTCCCAGAAGGGGTTGATCCCTGCACAGTAGGCGAGAAGGCCTCCTCTCCTGCAAAAGTCCTTTGGATCCATTCCGGGGACTGTGACACGACAGCTGGTGCCGGAGGCAGTGGAGATGGCGGTAATACCGACCACAGCCAGGCCCACTTCTAGTGACTGTGCAGGCTGTAGCCCGAATGGGGCTGCACCATGAATGGGTCTGGGGGAGGGCGGGCTGAAACAAGCCCCAAACGCTGCCCGGAGGAAGGGCTACCATTTTCTCATTCACACGAAGACTCTGCCTAGACAGGGCAGCCGGCCACAGTGAATAGGGACCATAGGTCATGTCAAGAATCTCACCATGGTGGTGGAGGCAGAGTAATGGTTGTCACTGCCAACATGACACTGCCCGTCATTGGGCTGGACAATGCCTGCCAGCCTTCCATCCAGCGCTATATGGGTTTTGGCATCAGTGGTAAACACCAGCAAGTGGGACGCATCATTCCTCCAGCCAATCTTCTCCTGTTTAAAAAAAGGCAAAAGAGACAAAGTAATGTTAACTGTGTCATTGGCAGAAAACAAAGATCCATGGACGTCCCTACCTGAAGGTCTGAACATGCTGTCTTGGGGAAGGGCCTCAGTCCCAGTCCTTGAAACACAAGCTGAAACTTCCCAACTCAGGGCTTTCTGTTCTCTTAGAAAACAGTCTCTGCCCTGGCTGGTATGGCTGAATAGAATTCTGTGAACCAGAAGTTTACCGGTTCAATTCCCAGTCAGGGCACATGCCTGGGTTGCGGGCCAGGTCTGCATTTAGGGGCATATGTGAGGCAGCTGATCGATGCCTCTCTCTCACATCTATGTTTCTCGCCCTCTCTTTTTCCCTCCCTTGCCTTTTCTCTAAAAATAAATTAATAAAATCTTTTCTTTTTAAATAAAACAGTCTCATAGCTGATTATTTCAAGCAGCTGAGAGACACCTGATTCGATTCCAAGTATAACTTTTCCAGTGATAATTAAATGGCCCATCTAGAAACCCACCTGCATCGGCAGAGCTGGGCTGGGCTAGAAGAAATTCTTTCTGAACATCTTCCTACTTCACTGAGGTTAAGTTAACCCAGCTTGACTCTGAATCACTTCCAGAGAAGATGAGAAGATGCTCTCCCCAGAGAACATCTGGTACTATGAGGTTCAAAAGATTGTCAGCTCTGGCCAGGGAGCAGACACAGGCAAAGGATGCTTATCAGGAGCAATGTATTGCTTACAGTGTTTGAAGCTGTGCTTAGTTCCCATCTCTTATTTCAGACAGAAATCCCCACAGTTGAGCCCCTTCCTTCCCCATTTGATCAGCACTAACTACACCTGGCATTCCATGCCCTCCAAACTCACATCACAGACTGTAGCCTGCATGATGGCATCAAAGCCACCCTCTGGGCCATCTCGGTTCCGTGACACACTCTGCTTCTTCACCTCCTCATTGAAGCGGGTCACCTGGTCAGTTAGCGTCAGCACATGTTTGTAGCCAAACATGGGCAAACAGGGGGTCTTCACACTGGGAAGGGAAAGAGAGAGTTGAAGCAGACAGCCGGAAAAGGCTGCATGGGGAGTGGCAGGGGAAAAGAGGGGGACAAATATGCTTAGTGGCATGCCCAAGCCAGTTTTATACAACTGCAATTCCCCCAGCAGTTCAGTCTCCAAATCCCTGAAATTACATTGACCTTACCTCTGGCTAGCCTAGAGGATAAGAGAGTGAGCTATAAAATGAGATTGCCTTGGTTCAAATCTCAGATCCTCTACTTACAAGAAATGGGACTTTAGGCAAGTTTCTCTATACTTAACCTGTAGAAATGGGAAATGAGAGCTCATATCTCATGAGTTGTTGTGGGGCTTAAATGAATGAGTTAGCACATATAAAGCACTTAGATCAGAGTGAGGCTCTTGTTGTTGCTATCATCTTATATTAAATACTTTTCTAAAGTAACAATGCAACAATAAAGCAAAAGTTTCACCGATAATAATGTCCCTGAACCATCAATAAATTGATAGATCTGGATCCCAAGAGTCTATTACATGGAGTCATAGAAGTGGTGGCAGTTACTACACTTCAGACCATAAAATGCTGTAACTATGTCCCACCCTGAATCCCACAGCACCCCTATGCCTTGTATAGAAGGTACTTCTGTAAATTCTTGATTTAATTAGAAAAGTCACAATCCATGCTTCCAAAAGCCTGCCTCTTAGCTCAATCCTTCCTCCCTCTGAAAGTTTCCTGCCCCTATTTTCTTTGTCCTCATACTCAGCTTTGGCTTCTGGAGGAGCACTTACTCATAGCAGGGGTTCTCGAGGGCCTCTGGTGGGGAGATGAACATGTATGGTGATACAGGCTTGTCCACAAAGGCCCCAAAGCCAATCCGCAGGTTACTAGTGAGCTTGCGCATCTCGGAGGCCAGCTTGGTACCCAGGTTCTGGATGTTCCTCAGATCATCCTTCATGGAGTTAGACAGGTCCATCAAGTAGTAGATGTCAACAGGGTAATCCTCCACCTGTCGGACTTGGACGGAGAAACTCTTCGAGTCATCTGGAAGGCAGAAGGATGTTAGTTTTTCTCTTCTTCTATAAGACTGAATAAGTTGATTTGGACACGGTTAGGATTAAGTAACTTCTTGATCAAACTAAACTTGAAAACCCTGGCGTTAGGAGAAAGAAGGAACAAACATTTTTTGAGTATCTACTGTGTTAGAAGGGTTGAGTAACTTGCCCAAGGTCAGATAGCTAATACATGGAAGAGTCAAGATTCAAACTCAGATCTTCTGACTCCAAGTCCCAATTCTTTCTATTTCCTTCCATTCTCCTGACCATATCTTTCCCCACATCCTTCTCTTCTGGCCCCATTTCCACTGTGAGCTACTTCCCCAAAGCTTCCTGGTCCTGGCCAGATCTCCACCTCGTGCCATGTGCCCATCTGTCTGGGGTCTCTGGGAGATGAGTCCCATCCCTACCTGGCCGGAGCCGGAGTGCGATCCTCTGGGGACTGACTTGTGTAATCTGGGCACTGTCTCCAGAGCCCCTGTCGCTGAGAGGCCTGGCCTCCAGGGTGCTGACCTCACTGACGGGGAACTCGATGGACTCCAGGGTGCAGTTATCCTTCAGCAGGTTCTCCTTCAGGTCACAGCGGGGTGAGCCTAGAGGCAGGGTCTGTAAAACAAGAGCCCAAGGGGCAGCCCTGCGGTTGGAGCAATGGTGGTTCTCTGCCTCCTGCAGGCTTTGCTGTCTTTCCATGACCTAGAGCTTACCTAGCATTTTGGAGCTAAGCAAACTTGTGTGGTCCATTATACAAAAGTGGGGAACTGAGGCAACAGAGAGATTGGGGGAGTACCTATTCATGGACTGGGAGTTAGGAAGAAAGCCAGTGCAGTGTGGTGCCTGTTAAACTACTGCTTTTCTTTTTTTTAATTATATTTCATTGATTATGCTAATACAGTTATCCTGATTTTTCCCTCTTTGCCCCCTCCACCCAGCACCCCCAACTCCCTCAGGCAGTCCCCACACCTTTGTTCATGTCCATGGGCCATGCGTGTAAATTCTTTGGCTACTCCATTTCCTATACTGTACTTTACATCCCCATGGCTATTCTGGAACTACCTATTTGTACTTCTTAATACCCTCACCTCTTCACCCACTCCCCCACACTCCCTTCTCATCTGGCAACCATCAAAATGCTCTCTGTATCCATGATTCTCTGTTCTTCTTGTTTGCTTAGTTCATTTTTTAGATTCAATTGTTGATAGATTTGTATTTTTTGCCATTTTATTGTTCACAGTTTTGATCTTCTTTTTCTTAAATAAGTCCCTTTAACATTTCATACAATAATGGTTTGGTGATGATGAACTCCTTTAGTTTTTTTCTTGTATGGAAAACTCTTTATCTGTCCTTGGATTCTAAATGATAGCTTTGCTGGGTAGAGCAATCTTGGCTATAGGTCTCTGCTTTTCATGACTTTGAATATTTCTTGCCAATCCCTTCTAGCCTGCAAAGTGTCTTTTGAGAAATCAGCTGACAGTCTTATGGAAACTCCTTTGTAGGTAACTTAACTTCTTTTCTCTTGCTGTTTTTAAGATTCTCTTTATCTTTAAACTTTGGCATTTTAATTCTGATGTGTCTCAGAGTGGGCGTCTTTGCATCCATCTGGTTTGGGACTCTCTGTTCTTGTATATCTATTTTCTTCACCAAATTAGGGAAGTTTTCTTTCATCATTCTTCCCAGTAGATTTCCAATTTCTTGCTCTTCCTCTTCTCCTTCTGGCACCCCTAGGATGGGAATGCTGGACCTCTGAAATTGTCCCCGGGGCTGCTTATATTATCCTCATTTTTTTTTTATTCTTTTTTTCTTCTTGCTGTTTGATTGTTTTTTGCTTCCTTGTGTTACAAATCACTGATCTGATTCTCAGCTTCAACCACTCTCCTGTTGTTTCCTTGTAAATTGTTCTTTATTTCAATTAGTGTATCCTTTGTTTCTGACTGAATCTTTTTTATGTTGCTGAGGTTCTCACTAAGTGCCTTGAGCATCCTTATAATCAGTGTTTTCAACTCTGCATTTGATAGAATGTTTATTTCCATTTCACTTAGCTCTTTGTCTGCAGTTTTGATCTGTTCTTTCATTTGGGCCATGTTTCTCTGTCTCCTGGTTTTGGCAGCCTCCCTGTGTTTGTTTCTATGTATCACGTAGAGCTGATTTGACTCCGTGTCTTGGTAGTGTGGCCTAATGTCGTAGGTGCCTTATAGGGTCCAGTGGCACAGACTCCACTGCCACCCAAGCTGGATACTCAAGGTGCACCCTTTGTGTGGGCTGAGCACACTTTCCTCTTGTAGTTGAGCCTTTGTTGCTCTTGGCAGATCAATGGGAGGGATTTACCCAGGTCAGTCAGCTGCAAGGATTGGCTGTGACCACTTACCACCATCCTCTTCCCTTTGTGGAGGATCAACTGTGCAGGGGCAGGGTGGTGGTGCTCCAACATGGTCTGTAGCTGTTCCCTGGGTGCACAGCCCTAGGGTTCCCAGGATGATGCAGATCAAGGTCAGCCCCCAACTGTGTTTTGCCTGGGGCCACCCTGGCTGAGCTATAAAGCAATCTGAAATGGCTGGTACTTGTGCTGGACTTGGAGATTCCCAGGCAAAGCCAAGCTGTGAATCTAGGCTGGCTGCTGCTAATGTGAGCCTGGGGCTCACTGAGGTCAGCTATTGTTTGTTTGAGAGGATTTGGGAAGTTGTGAAGCACAGCTAAGACCAGACGTTCATGTGGAAAAGCAGCTTGGGTGGGCTATAAGTTGGGTGGGGGGAGTTCCTGGGGATCTCCAAGGTGGGTCAAACGATGTTAGCCAGGTTAATAGAGTCTCAGATATGGCACCAGCTTGCCGGCTCTGTGGGGGGAGGGTTTAGAAAAGGGACAATGGCCTCTGCTTGTCTTGATGCCAGACACTTCAGTTCCTCGCTTTATGCTACTGGTGTCTTTCAAGCTGCTACCCCAGTGCTGGCGCTCAGAGGGAGCGAGTCTGAGTATGTGAGAGAGTGTGTGAGTTCTTTAAGAGAAACTGCTTGGGGTTCCAGGAGCTTCTTCTACTGACTTGCTGGTCCTAGTGTGGAGCTGGGACTCCTTGCTCCCAAGATTTCCCTCCCAAATTCTTATCCACCACACATGGGTGAGGGACCAGCTCGTTCTGCATCTGCGCCCCTCCTATCAGTCTGGATGGATGTGGTTTCTTTAATTCTGTAGTTGTCAGACTTCCATTCAACTCGATTTCTGATTGTTCTGATGGAGTGATGGTTGTTCCATGGATGGATGTGTGTGCCATGTCTGCCTGCAGTGCTGTCTTGACTGGAAGTCCATAGTGTTTTTCAAATTCTGAAGTACAACCCACTTGTGGGTCCCAAAAAGCAATGTAGTAGGTCTCAATCCTCTATCAAATGGAATGGAATAGAATAGAATAGAATAGAATAGAATAGAATAGAATAGAATAGAATAGAATAGAATAGAATGTATCAAAGTATATAAATAGTAAAAGTAAATATTGTTTTGTGAAACATTTCTATACTGGGGGTAGGGGTAGAATATATATAATAAATAATGATACACAATGTATTTCTTTCTGGAGGTCATGGTCAAAACAGTTTGGAAGCCAGTGTGTTAAGACAGTGGCTAGGAGCTAAGATGCATGAGGGCAGGGACTGTTACCTTTCTATTTCGAGCACCCAACCTAGGATTTACCACAGAGGTGAAGGGGGAAGAAGTACGGGGAAGCAGCAGAGAGTAGGGGCGAAGCGCACAGGACTACATCTCAGCATTGCCTCTTACTAGCTGGTTACTAGCATGAGTTGCCTAAAGTCTCCACACTTTGTTTCCTCAGCTGTAACATGAAGATAATAATAGCCCCAGCTTCCCAAGGATGTTATGCAGGACCGAGGAAGACAATGCATGTAAAACACATAACCTACCATAGGATAAGTGCTCATTAAATGTTAGCTATTATTATGAGATGCTCTATAAATAATTTCTGGATAAATTGATTTTGAATCAGCTTCACAAGCTTGGGAAAATCCCACAATGCCAGGCCACTGGCCCGAGTCTATGCTATCACTTTAAGCTTCCTTCCTCATGCTGGACAAAGAGCCAACTGAGAACCCTTCCAAAAGCCCTGGCATGTATTCCACAGCCCTCTGGAGCGCTGTGTGTGTTCACACCTGAGTAGTGAATGGGACACATCTGCACTGGGAGGAATGTGGGAAATCAGGAAACCGGTTCAACCCCAGGCCTGCCACTAACTAGACATGTGCCCTCAAAGAAGTCATTTCACTCCTGTTAACCTCCGATCCCTCACCTATTAGATGACGTGGTGTTTTCAGTCCCTTCCTGCTCTGACATTCAGCAAATTTAGCCAGGACTGTGTGGGCACAAGTCCACGAGGGCTCCTTGCCAGGCTGGGGGGACTGGCGGGAAAGCTGGAAAACCCCACCCTGGACCTATTTCACAACATCTAGGCTTCCGGCCCTCAAACCACCCCCACCTCCACCCACCCCCTCTCACAACCACTTGCAGAAGTCCGCTGAACAAGCCACTCCAATTCCCCAGAACAACTAGTGTTAACAGTTATTAAGCATTTACTGCATGGAAGACTCTGTGATAAGCACTTTGTGTGGGTTACTGCAATCTTCCTGGTCACTGTTCTTTGATGCTGGAACAATTACCATCTTATAAGTGAGGAATTCTGAGGCTGGGAGGCTTCACATATGAGGAACCCAATCTCACAGGCAAGAAATCTAAGGCTTAGAGAAGTTAAGGTACTTGCCCAAAGTTACAGAGCTAGGAAGTGGCAGAAGTGAGGTGCTAATTCGATTGTCTGACTTCAATTATCCTTACAAAGTGATCAAGTTGTATTATGTTCTGCATAGAGTGAGAATCAAGGCAGAGAAGCAGAAATGTGGAAGTGATGGGCCCTGGAAGAGCCACACCTGAGAACACCCCAGGTAGGGAAGAGAATGCAAGATGGGGATGCGGGAGGGGTGGGAAGGGTAGGTAACATTCTGCCTCCTCAGCCCCCTCAGGTGACTGTAGTCATATTTCCAGGAGAAGGAGTGGGCCACAAGGTGTTATCTATGTTTTAAAAATCAGAACTCTGCCCCTGGCCAGGTAGCTCTGTTGGTTAAGAGTATCATCCAAATATGCCAAGGTTGCAGATTCAATCTCCGGTCAGGGCACACACAAGAAACAACCAATGAATGCATACATAAGTGGAACGGCAAATAGATGCTACTCTCTCTCTCAAAAATCAATAAATTAAAAATATTAAAAATCAGGAATCTGTAGCCCAAAGCTCCTTGCGATGCTCAAAGTCTCTGTCCCTCTCCTGCCCAGTCCTCCTCTGATAGGCTGAACAGCTTCCTGGCATGGATGGGAGGGTGAACAATGCCAGGGGGCTACACACTGAATGTCTGTGTCCCTCCAGAAGTTATACGTAAAACTCCAAACCCCAAGGTGATGGTATTAGGATGTATGTCTTGGGAGATGATTAGGTCACAAGGTAAACCCCCTTAAATGGGATCAGTGTCCTTAAGAACAAGCCCCAGAGAGCTCCCTGGACTCTTCTGCCATGTGAAGACATAGCAAGAGGATGGCCATCTGCGACGCAGACGGTACCTTGATCT